TCCGATCAAGTATTGTAAAATCATTTTTTTTATGTGTTTCACACCGTGTGTAAAATCAGTTGTGTAACAACAACGTTTATTACAGCTAAATTTGGTTAGGTTTTTAAATTCAGCCTGTATCTGCTCATAGTTGTTATAATTTTTTCCGTTCACCACTTTTACCCTCGCAAAATAAGAAACGTAGTCCTATAAATAACGACGCATAATTTAAATAAATAAAATATATTTTTTTTATATAATTGGAAGGAGAATTAAGATCTGTATTTGATTAAGGGATTAAGATTTTCATAAACTTTTTAATAGCTCCCACCTCTATCTTATATTGCGTGGTTTTTTTATTCGTCAACATTCAAAATGCCGCTCTCATTACCATTAAATTTCCCTGAATGGTTGGAAAAGAATAAAGATAAATTACAACCGCCGGTAAATAATTTTCTCATACAAAAGGGAGACTTTATTATAATGGCAGTTGGGGGACCTAATGCTCGAACCGATTACCATGTTAATCAAACAGAGGTCTGTAAAATAAATAGATCATTGATCCAGTAATTAATTATAATCAAAAAGATTTCGAGATAATGCAAAGATAATTATTTAATTTATATTCAAATTCAAACCATAGGAATGGTTTTACCAATATAAAGGAGATATGGTTCTTAAGGTTGTTGACGATGGTGAATTCAAAGATATTCCTATAAAGGAAGGTGAAATGTTTCTGCTACCTGGTAGTTGTCTAGATAATTAATTTAATTTTTTTACTCACGCGGAAACGATCATATCTTTTATTTTCCATGGATCGTCATCCGCTTTGTACTGGACAATTAATGTCCTAATATTTATTTAATTTATTTTATTCCCGTCAGGTAATACTCCACATAATCCAGTTCGATTTGCTAACACAATTGGAATTGTAATCGAAAGAAATCGTAGACCTGAAGAAATAGGTATTGAATAATTTTATTTCCATTTGATTAATATTTTATATTTATAATGTTTATAATCTGTTAATTTTTTGAATTATAGATCGTCTTCGATGGTATTGTGACAATTGTAAAAAAATAGTGTATGAAGAGTCATTTCACTGTTATGATTTAGGAACTCAATTGAAACCCATTATCCAAAAATACGCGGCAAATGAAGAGTTAAGAAAATGTTCATGTGGACATGTAAATATTGCAAAGTAAATGTCCGAAACGTAGCGAGGGAGTTATGTCCGCTCCTATTTTTAGGTTAGATGATCATCGCTATGTTTACCGTTAGCCAACATTTTTTTTTTTTTTAAATTTTAGCTAAAATAAAAGTTTTCTAGTAATAGTTATAATATTGTGTTTATACAATTTTATTATGAACATAATATCACATAATAAATAAAGCTTAACATCTATAATATCTAGTTAATCTGTATATCGTCCACAAGGAACGCTATGAATACTTTTTCCTTCATTCCATTTCAAAGCAGTTAATTCACCACCATAAACACATCTCGAATCTAAACCAAAACTGAATTCTTTAATGTTTAATCCACGTGATGCATCATGACCATATATAACTGTTTTCGGCGTTGGAGAGGACTTTTGCGCAATGTTCCAATAATGTGACCATGATTTTCCTTTCTTTAAGGATTTAGATGGTTTTCCGTTATCTTTGATATTTCTCTATATAAATTATAATAATTTATGAATAATAAATATTTTAATGACGATCAAGAGAAAAATAATGGGTAATTAATCAATATACCATGGTCATTATATCATCTGGATCCTGTTGATCAATAGGTACGTCAGGTAAAAGACCCGCATGAACCACGTATAAATCCTGTTCTGGAATGTTAATTACGATAGGACACGAAAAAAGGAATTCATAAAGTTCTTTATCGATATTTCTATAATATTAAATGAAAATATATGTCACATACTAATCAATATATATAAATATATATAAATTTGATTCATGTTATAGAAAAAATCCGAACCTTGCTAATTTCACATGTTCGGTCTCCATACTTAGATGGGGTGGTAGTTCATTCTTTTTAACATAATCTTTCAATTTAACTCCTTTTCTGTCCAAAATCTCCAAAAATACTTTCCACTGTATCACTTTATCATCGTGATTTCCACGAACGCAACTACTTCCATACTTTTTAACCAATTTAACAACTTCGATTGATTCTGGACCTTTAGCCACTAGGTCTCCAACAAATATCAAATGATCGTTTGTTGAATTATAATTAATTTTTTTCAAAAGCATTTCAAGTTCATCCAATGAACCATGAACATCACCAATAAAAATTAAATTCTTTGAGGAAACCGATGAGGATAAATTAGTAATCAAAAATTGATTTGTATTTAAAAGTTCGTGTGATTCTTCTATATTTGCTATATAAAAACCTGATTTGATATCTCCAGGAACATATGGAATCATACTTAAAGATACTGCTACAAGTATAATTGAAAAGATGGTAATTATTATAGCTACAGGTTTAGTATTAAACGGTTCTGTTATTCGCTTTTTGGAATGCATTTTGAAAAATAAAGTAAAAAGATTAAATCATGTTAGTTTATATAAATATCGATTTACTCCGATATTTAAATTTACATTACATTCCAAAAAAAAAAAATTATTAATTCAAAAATGGGCGTTTTGCCACAAACAGTACTGAATTTGAAATTTTGAATACAAAGCTGCATTTCAGCTTTCTCAATTGACACTGATGTGCATGTAACCTTTATTATACGTATATATATATATATATATAAATTTAGTCAATTTGATTTTTGGATAATAATTTTTGTTAAAAATTTTGATTGGCTAATAAAGTGCGATATCAAAAAACTAAAGGTGATATTTAAATTTTTTTAAAAAAATTTCTGTAGGAGTAGAATCTGATATTGTTATTGTAGAACGGTTTAAACCAAGCATAAAGTGTCATTATTTGAAATTTAGTTTATTTATAATAGTTTGGCATAAAAATTTTCGATTAATGATGTAGCTCAACGAAAACAAATTAACACGTAAGCAAAAGCCATAATTTACAGTTCTTATAAAGCAAATTAATAATAATAATAATATACCAGGCATATCATTAAGTAACTATTGCTCAATTTTATCAGCTACGTAGCGATAGAGGCTGTTCATGATATTCTAAATTAAGAACCTCATGACCACTATAATGCAATATATAGTTTGTAGTCAAAGTAATCAGCACCGTTCAGCATTACACGTGTACTGTACATTGGAACTATTATAGCATAACCAAATCTCCGAGAATTACTCCAGCTGAAACCATCTATAAAATAAGTTCTCGCTATGTTTAGTCGTTTCTTCAATTCTTACGAGTTATTTTCACTAATAGTACTGAAAAGCTTCCCCTAAACATAGTAGGTAAGAGGTTGTTTTTTATGATAAAAAAAAGTAATCACGTGATTCTATTGCATTCGTTCGTAATGCAGTAATGAGAAAGTTTATTAGTTCGAAATGGGCTGAGAAAATTTTTAACAGAAACGGGTTTGAGATCCCTCGATATAGTTTAGTGAATGTGTGGAACAATAATCGCTTACATAAAAATGACTACGTAAAATTTTATTATAATTTTAATATGCTAATATATATTATATTCCAACGCTGACTAAATTTATATAATAAAATTATTAAAGTAATGGAAAGGTCATACCTGCCGGCTTCTAAAAATTTATTTTCGATCGTAAGAGACCAAATATTAAAGGTCTGAATGTTAAAGAAATGTGATCTCGAATGTGCAAAATATAAAGTTGTCGTAAGTATAGTAACTTGAACTATTTACACAAACACATAATTAGAATGAGTTATTATATTAGTCTTGCTTTTTTTGACTAGAATTGGGCCATTTCTAGCGCAAACTTAAAGTATGGCGCAAACACAAAGCTGTCGTGCGAACTACAACACAAACACAAAATAATCTTATCTCGGGCTATGACGAAAACACAAAGTTTCATGCCTATGAACTATTACTTTAAGGTAATACGTAATAAAGAAAAAAGTAAGTTCGTCCCGCCAAAAATTTAGATCGACGTAAATTAATTCGTAATCCGCCAGAGAACTATAAAAAAGCATAGTAAATAGTGGGGATTTACTATATGTTTTTTACTAT